TGTGACACAGAAACCGAGAGTGGGAGTTTGGCAAGGTCCATAGGAGATGACTGTGCTGTCCAGGTCTCCATACTTTCCCTTAAATTATTTTCACATAGTTTTTTTTTCTGGTTTTAATTACGCCTATCAATTTTAGAACATTTTGACGGGGGGAAATTATAATACCTGGAAAAACTTGGTCTGAAACCGTGTGAACGAGCATCCGATACGTAGATCAAGCTCTTGTCTCGCATCAACAGACAACGCCATATTCTGATCCGGACGTCCCAGATTTTTCATCGCCGCTTTCAGATCTTTCTCAGTGATAGCTGAAAAATGTGCTCGATAGACATCCGACATAAAGTCTGGCCGATTTTTGAACATTGCTGATTTGACCGCGTCGATCACCTAAAAACATGATTGATTCAAAAATCCATAAAACGATTTAAGCCAACCTCAAAGCAAATATTCTCTCCTTCCTTGTCACAATCCAACCACAAAACTAAAATATCGGCAGTTTTCGCTTCGGAGGCCAGAAACTCGTTCATCTTCATTTTCGCATTAGCCTCGATTTTGACAGCTGGAGCACTGTAGAGCTCGGCTGGATCGACGCGTTCCCAATTGTTGTATTTCGAAGGAAAGTCTAGAGACATCACATGCCCACAGGTACTTGTGACTTTGAATTTTGCGTTTCTACCGTTGAATTGGCCATCGTATTCGCTGACTGAGCAGACACCATTCCAGCCTGGAAATAGTACAAAGATTTTGAAGAGTTTCTGAATAACGAACCTTTTCGTTTTCTTGCTTGCCCATTTGATAGAAGATTTGCAATTGAATCTGCCAACATAGGCTTTTCAGCCACCATTAAGACGGTTGGAGTCATCTGAAAACAAAAGGGACATCTGGAAATAGAGAAGACAAGAACAGAGGAATCAAAAAGAGTTCTAGAAAGATCTCTACAGATGAAAAAGAATCTGGAAATCAGCAGGACAGATGATAATACGATATGATATATTTTATAAATCAATTTACCATTTTTGTTTAGCAGTTGACAATAAATAAGGAAAAGAGTTTTTTTGGAGGAAACGTACATAAAATGCAAAAAGGGGCAAAAATGTCGTGTTAGGTGCGGCGGTTTAAAGCGCTATATGCTTATTTTTCGAGGAGGTGAACTAGGAGTCCGAAGGAAAGGTGAATTAGTTATTGGTAGGGGTTGTGGTGTTTGTGGTGGTGCTGGTGGTGGGGGCTGATGATGCTGATGTTCCGTTCCCATTGCCTGTTGTAGAGGACTCGGAGGTGGTGGGAGAGGGCTTTGGTGGAGCTGTAATGGTGGGAGCCGAAGAATAGGAGGAGGCAACGATGTTTGAGGAAGATGTGACGAGAGGAGCGATCTGAAATCTCCCTTAACATTTAGTTAGCGAAAACTCTTGCACGGTCTGATAACCACAGATAAACGCTAGTTATCAAAATTCCATATAAAATATCTTCACCTGTTTCATTTGTTGAATTTGATTCTGCAAATTACGCATGTGAGCCGATGATGCAGACGCTGATGTTGCTGCACTTTGAGAAGGAACTACGTCGAAAATCACGCTAGTTGAGCTGACTGCTTTTCTGGTCGGGCGTTGATGTGCCGACATTTGCTGGAGAACATAATTGTTGGCCTGATCCACAACTTCCGGTGCGCAGTTTTGTCGATAGTAGGTGCATTCGTATTGAAGCTCGCGCATCTGATATTCCAGCTCGGCAATCGTATTTCTCAACGTATCGACTTCCTCGCGTACTGCATACGTCAAATGGGTCTTCACTAACTCCATAGCCTGCTCGATTTTGTTATCAATTGGAGTGTGAGAATCCGTTGTCGAAGGCGTATTCAGAGATGAGGCGTTCATTGTAGCCGCTGGAGCTGCTGGAAGAGCGGCTCCGGACGACGAAGCAGAAACGGGGACCGATGTGGACACTGGTGATGACGCGGGGGCAGTTGTTGGGGCAGTTGTAGTAGTGATGATTGGCGGTGGTGGAGAATTTACATTTGAGGAGGAGAACACTTCATCGAAGACCGGGACTATGTGAGTCTCTTTTGGAGTTCCATAAGGAGTTGAGTGGGGTGCACTGATTGGTGCGGCAATCGGGATTCCACAAGCATCCAAGCTTCCCGCCACTTCTGCATCCTTCTTTTCCAATGCAGCCGACACAGTTATCATCACATTCGTTGGTGTTTCCACCTCATCTACATGGTCGAGACGATCGGCTGGGGGTGGCATTAGAGCTGCATCGATAACGTTCTTAACCGAGTCCATTGACATATTCTTGCTCTCTTCCGTCTAAAATAACTTTTGTTTTAGATGAATTTTTAGGACCAGCAGCTTACCTGAATCACTTGGAAGGTTGGCTCGCTGAGTGGATGATGAGCGTTTGGTGACGGGGCAAGAGTTTCGATGGATGGAGCTGGTGCAACTGGAGCCGGAGTGCCTGGCTCGCTCAGTACCACTGGTTCAACTTGGAAGTGGCGAGTTGCTTTTGAAGTCTCCACTGACAGGGAAGCAGTAGATTTTACAGATGTGAGACTTGGCTCGGCGAGCTTCTGAGCCTCGACCTTCTCATCGTTCGAAGGTTTACGACTTACATGGGGGGATAGCGAGTTCTCAACAGCCGATTGAATCTGGAAAAACTTGAATACGATGAGATCTTTGTTCATTAAGTTTCCTACTTACCCCAGTATCAACAACTACCATACTCGCTGGCGGCGTATTCATTGGAGTAGGTGGCACTTGTTGGACTTTTTCATCCGACTTATTCTCAAAATCGTCAATCGAAAGCTCCCGTATCTGATCATATCTATCCGGAAGTAGCGAGTTCGACGTCTTCCGAACAATTGTCACCCCATTCTTCCGAGTTATTATGATACTTTCCGATGAATTCGATAGGTCATCTAGGTTATTTTTGTTCCTTGGTCTCAACGGAAGTCACTTGAATTGTGCTCTCTTCTTGTGGCTGGCGTAGTTTTAAGAATACAGAAATTCTGAAAAATATACATAATTAGTTGGCTTTATATTGAAAGCCTACTTCTCTGGATTCGCCTCCTCTTTCGTCTTGTTTTTCTCGAACTCGAGCGTCTCCGCGTTCGGATGGTATGAATCGCGGCACTTCCATCGCCCTCTTGTGAACTCTCCCGGTACCGGAACGAACTGGAACCGAGATGGTTTCGGTTGCGGAATGTCGGCGACGACCGGTGCGGACGTTTCACCCATGTCTAAAACGATAATCAGATTTTATTGATTTCATTCTGGTATTAAAAAATCGGAGAAGTGGAAGAGAAAGGCCGTGGCCGAAGCTCCTACAATGACAACTACCGTAACCTAAAAATATTGTTATTTTCGGCATTTTTTTGGTTTTTTACTGATTTTTGTTGAGTTTCCTGCTCTTTTTCCCAAAAAAAATTGCCTGAAAACGCACGGGAATCAGAAATCAATACAATAAATCCGGAATCTGAAAAAAATGAGATGTTTCAAAAATTCGAGAAAAAGTGATTTTCGAGAAACTTAAAAATTTTCAAAATTAAAAAAAAAAGAGAATACTTTTAGGTTACGGTGGTTGTCGTTGTGGGACCTTCGGCAGATCCGATTTCTTTGTACCAGTGAAAAATTGAGGAAACATAGATAGAATTTCAGGGATTGCAAACCCTGTATCATCGGAAAAAAATCAAATCCAATTTTTTAAAGAAATACTCATAAATAAAAGAACAACAACAATAACAAAAATTTCAACAACAAAAAAAATAAATCAACGGAATTTAACAGGTGGTTGTCCTTCTTTTAGCTTCGGTGGCCACTCCAGATCCACTTTCTCCACGTCCAACTCCAGAATATCGACTTCGCCATTCTCCACATGCAACAATTCCGCTAGAGAAGGACGAGTTCTGCCAAAATCTCCATGAACAAACTCCTTGATATAGGTTCCTGCTTGAGTCTCAAGTCGAACTTCAAAATGATGATCGTCTAATTTCAAAAAGTCCATCGAGAAAATCGTTCGTTCTCTGTCCAACAAAGCTCGCCGTTTCATTACACGAACTGGCGTTTTTTGAACGATGGTTAATGGAATTTTGGATCGAGCGGCGGCGAATTGCTCATCGGAAATTGGCAGGATACTGTAGCAATAGGCACAGTATTGTTTTCTTTTGTCTGAAAACATAATTTTAGGATTTAAAAAAAAAGGAAAATTACCTTCTTCACCAACACACAATTTTTCTGCAAGTTCTCGAGGTACTCTCGTCAGCGAGTTGATTTTGATATCTTTTTGGGCATTGATAGTCTCTTCCACGGATTTTAATGTTTCCAGATAGTTCAATCTGAAGGTTATTCTTTTGTTAGCAATTATTTCTCATCGTCAACTTACCCTCTAACGGGCAGAGTGATTCTACAGTTTCTCAACTCAACGACAAACGGTCTTCCATTTCCGAGCATCCGTACATCAATATCCTCACGGCCAGAAGTGACGAATCTGCTGTCACTGGCACCGAATTGTTTCTTCAGAACGTCACATACTTTTTCAGACACCTAAATATCAAATTTCTTAAAAATTCAAAATTTATAGCTTACCGAGTTTCCTGGTTCTCTTGGTGCATCCTTATCTTCACTCCACGGCGATTGTGGAAGACATCTAGAATACTTGCAATATCTTCCGGCAACGAAAACTGGATCTCGCTCGAATTGAAGACTGAACGTACACTTTCGAGTGGGAGATTTGAAGACGTACTTTCTGAACTTTATCATTGATGTATTTATCAAAAAATCATAAATACACTAACCGTGCGATCTGTTCGTTGATTCTACCAGTGACCTGTTGTAACTGTTGTTTTGAGCAACTCGTTGGGGCTTCTTGGTGGCTGTATCTGTTCCGTTTTCCAACACGAAAATCGTTCGGGAATGCGCTTTGAAGGAATTGCAAATCCGTAAAATCTGATTCGTCTTGCTCGAAAGTTATCATCAATTGTAAATCCGAACTTAGTGTTGGACGTTTTCCAGAATACTGAAACAAAGCAAAACGATAAATTAATGTTTTCAAAATTCAAATTCAACTTACAGAGCCTAGTTTCTTCAGATATCCATCAATATTTCGTACTTTATGTGGAACTTGGACGAGGGTTCCATTGAAATCCGGCCGGAGTCGATTGACTAGAATCTCCCTGTTCTTATGCTGGTAAATAACTTCTACGCTGACAATCTTACCTTAACGTTTGACCAACGGGAAGATTCAAAGCTAAAATGAAGCTGTTTGAGTCGTATGGAAGTTTTTGAAGCTCCTCTTGAACCTTTTCTCCAACCTAAAATAGGTAAAAGTCGACAACAATTTGTACTAAGAAATTTATGAAAACCTCGTCAATCATTGATTGATCCATGATTCCAAAGCAAAGTTGGCATTCGAAAGATTCCGAACATGTTGTTACGTTCTCTGCGTCTCCTGAAATCTGACGAACACAAAGCTCACAGAAGACCAAAGGTGTTTTTTCGCTGGACATCTGAAATTTTCGCAAAATACAGAGTTTTAATAGGAAATAGGGTGACATAAAAAATTGATAAACAATTTCTGACACTTTCGTGTAATCTAATCTATTCTCTTCGAGACGGAATGAGGGAAAACGATGCGAAACAAAAAAAACAATTCGATTGCGTCCGCAATATTGCGTCAGAGTGTACTGTCTGGTGCGTCTTCAGTTCGCGCACTCTCTCGTTTCGAGCTGATCGGCGAGCATTCGTGGAAATGAAACATAGATTGGGAGCGACATCGGAGAAACATCTGTGTCGTTTTTTTTCATGATTTTTTGTATGCAGAAGAGAAAAAAGGTTTTTATACACAAGAACAACGTCTCCAACAATACTGGTCGAAAACCATCGCAGCAGGAAGCCCAAAAAAAGTGAATTTATGCGGGAAGCAAAAATTGTTGAGAAAAATGTGATGGTTTCGGTCAAAATGTGTTAATAGCAACACAAACAATTGAACAGAACAAGAAGCGAATGTTTCGTAACATTGCAAGCGGAACATTTTGCATAGGACCATGTTCAAGGTCTTGTGATCCGTAAAGATCACATGAAGACTGGGGTGTATTCATTCAGATTTCAAAAAGTCTGTATTATGCTTGTATAAAAAATATGAGATGTGAAAGTGAAAAGTTAGTAACTAGAACTACCGTAACCTAAAACCTTCGGTCCTTTTTTCTCGATTACTATTGGTTTTCGACAAATTGTGTGTTGAAAACCTCCAAACAAGTTGGAAAAATGATCGGAAATCTATAAATATGGATTACTCGGGTATAAAAAAATCAGAGCGATGAACAAAACACCGTAATTTTTCCAGTTTTTATTGTCTGAAATTTGATGGAACGTTGTTTTGACTACTGAAGGTTACTGTAGATTACTGTAGAAAACTAACTTCCTTTTGTTTTTTTTTGTTTTTTTTTGCCTTAATGTTGACTTGATTTTGCTTGCAAAAAAACAAACAGCAAAGGTTTCTACAGTAATCTACAGTAATCTTCAGCAATCAGAGCAACGTTNCATCAAATTTTAGACAAACAATTCGGAGAAATCGAAAAAGAATCTTCAAAAATAATTGAAAAACCTAAAAAAGTCTAAATATTTTGCAAAAAATTAAAGAAAAATAATTTTGCCGGATTAATTTTCTCGATTTTCGTGCAGTTTCCGTCACGTTTATCACTAGGTTACGGTAATTGTCGTTGTGGGACCTTGGGCCACGTCCACTGGCGTTTCTTTTCCACAGCACCCATTTTTGCACACCAGCATAATAGTTGTTATATTTAACAGTATAAGCTTTATTCAACAAAATGCAGACAAATTAGTTTTCAGATTTTTGGGATCTGATGTTTATGTGCTGTTTCATGAAATATTCAATGGACCTGTCTGGTTCCCCCAAACATGCCTTGTTATATAAATTTTTGGTATCTTTCTAGAGAGGTGAGAAGAATTTCTCTTCTCACGCACTTCTCATATTCTTTTGTTCTGAAGATTCATAAGTTGAAAGTCCAGAATGAGATGAAAACGTTTTCTTGAGAACTGTGCTTTGGTTGGGAACCTGAAATAAAAATCCCTTTCAATTCAATAAGAGATCTTTGTTCAATTGAATATATTTGTGCTCGGTACATACAAAAAAAAAGTGATATAGGCGGTCGAAAAACAGAATAATATTCATTCTGGTTATCCGAAGATCCCAAATTTGGAGCATTTCATTATTTATTAATAAATCTTTTCGGTGTGGAACTCCTTCAAGAATAGGCCTTGATTGCTTCTTCTGAGCATGTGATACTAAATACTTTTGAATAGAACGTTATCTGGAGTGTCCTTTCTTCCATAAACAAGACTTTTGTTGTCCATGTTTTTCTTCGTAACTTTTTGGAATTTGTTAGTTTTGGAGGTCGGACATTTGAAAAATCGTAAACACTCTAATAAAGCTTAATTATCTGAATTGCTGTAAGAGATAACAGAAATCTGTCAACCGATAAAATATTTTTCATAATATCACCAACATTTCATCAAAGTTCCGATATCTCTTATAGAAACTGAGATAATTGAGCTCAAAGTGCGGTGGGCTTCTATTAGAGCAAATACGATATGACGAATTTAATGATTTACAAAAGAGTTTATAACTTAACAGATTAGTTGGAAAATTTCATAGTGTACTAAACGGAAGTAGAGCTTCATTTTTGTAATTGACAACTTTTTGGTAAAATTTGACCTAGAAGAGTTATGACACTTTGAGAGGCGAGCCTGATTCAGAAGCCGTAAGATATAAAAAATTGATTCAGAAGCCGTAAGTTATAAAATGGAATATCGGTTTCTGGAAAATTACAGTCTTGAATTTTTTTGAGTGTGAAATGATACATTTGAAAATTACTAATATCACCTTGAAAAATTCTCACACATTTTCAGAAAACTATTTTCAGATATTCATCTGAGATTTTCCATTTTATTGCATACGAATTCAGAATCAACTACCGTAAAACCTGTAATAGAAGGGTCCACGTACTGTCAAGTTTGAGCTGAATTATTTCGAATCCTGTGAAAGTTATCCAAAATGTGTCAACTGATAAAAACTTCTGATATTTTGAACAACAATTTATCAGTTGACCACTTTATAAAATCTCTCACAGGAGCTGAGATAAATTGGCTGGCACAAAGTTAAAAGTTAACTGGTTACAATCCCCTTTGGAACGACAACAATCCCTTTTGAAGTTCCAACA